CTCATTCACTGATCCCACAAAGGAATTTGAAGGCTCACCGTCTTTTTCTTTTCCTTAATTCCCTGCCTTTCTCCTGCCCCCCCTTCCCTGGTCCCCTTGCGGACATGCTCAGCTTTTGTGTGGGTTTCGTTTGGGGGGAGGGCCGGGGATAAAAGTGCCTGTGTGGAAAGGGGAGATAAGAGAAGGCGGCGGAGGGGCGGGAGCAGCAAATTCAGAGGCTCAAGGGCAGCTGCCCGCCTCGCCTCGCCTCGCCTCACCTCCCCCCCCGCCGCAGAGCCCCAGCAGGGCAGCTGTGCCGTGCCATGCCGCGCTGCTGCTGAAGCAGCCAGCCTACCTTGGGTTGCAAAAACCCGGGACTGAGACCCGGAGTTCGGGGGCCGGCAAAGTTCTGGCACCACTCAGCTGCCCCAGGCGCCGCTTGCCCCGAGAGGCTGGCGTCCCTCCTTGGGCAGAGGAGGTCAGTTCCGCGCGTTGCTCTCTGCCCCCGACCCTCCCGCGGACGCGTCCCTTTCCTGCACCAGCCGCAGTGAGTAGGAAGCGTTTGGACGGTGCGGCGGGGAGTGGATTGAGCTGGGTCTCCAGCGCGAGTGTTTGGGGAAGCGCGGGGGTCCTCTGGCGGGCGGGGCTCAGCCTGACAGCTGTGGGCACTGGAGCATCTCTCTCCCGCTCTCTGGGCGCTGCCCTCTCTTGCTGACACAGCTTTTGGAGAGAGACCTCCAACTCCCTGATGGCACGGCGCCAGGGCGCTCGGAGGCAATGCCCAGGTTCTTGGCTCATCCTCCAGTTCCCATCATCCCCAAAGCTTCATCTTCATGCTCCTGCGGACGTTAATGGCTCCAGGACCACCTCCCCCTCCTCCTCCTCCTCCTCCTCTTCCTCTTCCTCTTTTCCCTCCTCCTCGTTATGATGATGCTTATTGCTACTGAATGATATTTAACGACAGCAGCTCTGGGCCACCCAAAAGGGGAGAACAATTGCGTTAGCCTGGCGGGTCAAGCAGTGAGCTGAAAGTTCCCGTAGCGCTGGCCAGGGGCCGGGTAGAATGAGCCATAATCAGGCAAGAAAAATGCGTTCGGGGCATGCTCCCCCCGCGAGGGGTCTCGAGCCCCCTTCTCCCAACCCGGTCCCACTTTAGCCTTGGCTAAAAAGAAATTGGGACCGGGGAAGCCAGAGCGCCCTACGGGAGGGCAGAAATCCCCTTTGCCTTCCTGTGGCTCTCCGCCCATCACGCCTCCTCGCACGCTGGGTGTACGAGCGTGAATTCCAAACCGCCTTGGAGCTTCTTCGCTCGCTCGTTGGAAGGCGGGCGAAGGTGATGCACGGAGTCGATGAAGAAAGGGAAATTTCCTTTCCTCCTCCATTTGATCTGAGGCATTTCCTCGTCAGTTTCACGAATGGCATTGTCGGCCTGCGAGGGGGTGGGGCGAATCTGGGGGGAGGGATCGGATCCTGGGTCTCTTGCAAGCCCTGCGCTGAGCCTCCAGGAGCAGGAGCAGTCTATCTGCATGGGCTGCGGAAGAACCCCAGGACCCTGGGCTGTTGCCTCTCTTTGGCGGGCACAGCGAAGGAGTTTGGTCGCTGGTGCTCTAGCAACCAACCCCAGTGGCACTTGGAGGATGATTTTTTTTTTTTTTAGCCAACGCGGTGCCCTCCGTGCTTGCTGTGGCGTCCTTTGTAAGCCCGGCTCCTGGTGAAACCTTTGCAACGGTGCCTCGCCAGGTTGGGCAGGATGGGGGCCATAAATAAAGGGAGTTGTGTGCGGTGGCGAATTCCAGAGATAACGGGCAAGTCCCTTGGCTGCTAGACCGGAGTGGAAACTGGAAATCTGGGGCAGAAATCTGGATTGGTGATTTTTATTTCAGACTTCCCACTTCTGCCCTGTGAAGTTTGGGGAGGGTCCCTGGTTCATCTCCCGGGGGGGTTAAATAATCAGCTTTTCAACCCCCCCCCAAATTCTGTAATAACTTTCCTTGCTGTTATTGGACTCAGAACGAAGCAGGTTTATCCTCAGTCTCTCTCTTTACCTTCTCCCCTCTGCAGGATCCTTGAAGACCTCTGACCCGTGCAGCATGGACCATTCTGTGAATGGCACCCTAGCCGAGAAGCACAGCCCCATAGACTACGGAGTCCAGATCAGGTTCATCGATGACCTGAAGGAGCCTAGGAAGTCCCAGAAGATCCGCCCCAAGGCTTCCAGGCCGGGCTCCTATGGCGTGGCCGTGCGGGTCCAGGGCATCGATGGCCAACCCTTTGTGGTCCTCAACAGCGGTGAAAAGGGAGAAGATTCGTTCGGGGTACAGATCAAAGGGGGAAGCAGATATGGAAGGCCAGCTCGGAGTCGGACCCTTGGGGAGACCTTTCCAGGCTCTCCTAGGGCCGGGTCGTCATCCAAGGACGCTTCGGGTTCCATCAGCTCCGATTCGGATCTTCCGGAGAATCCTTACGGGGCAAAACCTTCTGGACACAGCTCTCAATACAGCACCTCGGATGAGGACCCGGGTCCCCAACGAGTGCCCCAAGCTGATAGCTTGGATGGGATTCGCGCATCCCGTAGCAACGGCTCCTCTCTCCCCCACGGCGGCTATCGGACGCTGCCCCACAAAAAATCCATGGGGCAGCAGCATCTGCGGCGGACTCAATCTCACAGTTCTTTGCTTGATCCCGAGCCGAGCGACCCGCAGGAGCCGAGCCCCCCTAGAACTCACGACTCGGGTTATGCTTCCCGGTCAGGGAATTCCGGGGTCCCAGAAAGGAGTAGCAGTGCGCTGAATCTCTCTCCCCCCAGCGTCCCCAACCTTAGGGAATCCACAGCCTGCAACTTCCCTGGTTTGCGGTCCGTCCACAAGCCGTCGGACACAGGATCCCCAGAGCCGGCCCAACCAGTCGGCGCCAACAGTGGTGAAATCGATACAAAGCCGCTCTCTTCCGTGGACTCCTTGATCCACAAGTTTGACCGAAAGGCCCTGCCAAGGGGACGAGCCTCCCGCAGGACCCGGGTCTCGCCAGAGAGCCACAAGCGCTCACGGAGCCTCGACGGAAGGAGCGCTTACCGAGATACAGTGGACGCGCGGGAACTTGGGACCACCGAGCATCCAGGACATTTCAGGGAAGGAGCCCAAACCTTGACGAGTAAGCCCTTCGTTTCGGCTAATCCGCCGGGCAACCGGGGAGCCGCTGGGCAAGCGATGAAGGAGGATAAGTCTAAGATGATCCAGGATTGGGTCAGCAAGAGTCTGGAGGAGCCCGGGATGGAAAAGCAGCCGAGAAAAGTCCAGTCCGATTTGCAGGTAATTTTCCGGACGTCTTTCCTAGGGACCCGATTTCCCGATCGGTCCATGGCCACCCTGGGTTTCATGCTGTACCACATGGGTGGGAAAGCCACGATCCTCCTGACGTTGCTGCCTGCGCTGGGTCTTGCAAAAGGAGCGTCTTTTTCATCCCTTCTTTCGCGGAAGTGAAGACCGTCTTCCTGGCGAGCCGGGCGGCTGCAGTTCGCAGGGTAATGGTGGCCCATCCAGACCCGCCTTGACTCGCTGGGTGGGTTTGTTCTTCCAGCTGAAGTCCACCCCAGACCTCCTGAGGGATCAGCAGGAGGTAGCGCCGCCTGGAAGCAGCGAATACACCAAGGAGCTCATCTACAGCATTCTGAAGGACAGGTAAACATCTGGAAGCTGGAAAGGGCTTGTTTGTCGGAAAAGGGAGCCTCTCCGTCGAGCCAGGCTTACCTTTTGTTGACTTCACGGGCGCCTTCTGGGTGGCCAGGCAGAAATGCTTTGCCGTTCCCTCTTCTGGATGTCTTTCCAGCTTCCCAATCTCATCTGAATTGCTAAGCTCTCCTAGTGGTCTCCCATCCAAGGACCGACTAGGTTTGATCCTGGTTACCTTTTCCCAGATCAGCCACTTCCCACGACTCATTTGGGTTTCTGGCTTTAAATATGCTTTCATGTCTGTTTGGGGCTTAGCCCTGAGTGCCTTTTCTCCTCAGGGCCCAGGGATAAAGTCTGAGACCCCAGATTGCCCTGGGGGGTTCCACCAAGAGTATCCCACTGCGTCAGTATCCCATGGCGGGCAGCCCAAAGTTTCTGGGAAGCCTGCACACAGCTGGTCTAAAGGCAGCAGCCTTCTCTTGCTCTTCTCTACCAACGTTTGGTAGACCCTCTCTACAGCTGGAGGCTCTATTTTGTGAGCATCGTCCCCTAGCTTGGTAAGATTCAGCGTGGCGTCTGCCGCGGGCCTCGTTTGCAGCTCATTAACCAAGGTTACAGCTTAGCAGGAGGTTGGGGTTTATTCAGGGGGCCCTCGCGGCACAAGCCCTCATTCAGCGCTTGGAAAACTGTCGTTTTCAGGAGCGCCGAAAGCGATGCCTCGGCAGAGAGGAAAACCAACCTCATCTTTGAGAAAATCCAGGCGTTTGCGGTACGTCTCCCCCCCCCTCCATTGCCCACAAAGCAGGTCCCGCAATTGCTGCAGGCAGGGGGGCATCCCCCGTTCTGAAGAGGTGTGCCATGCAAGGGGGGGGGTCTTTTTGAAACCGTGAGGACTAGCGATTTGATGGGAGGTTTCCCTAAAAAATTGCTACGGCTAAGAAATGGGAGTGTGCCCCCGTTTCAGCTTGTAAGGAAATCTGACTTGGAGGGTTTCTTTTTCTGGCTTGGGGGGGTAAGGCTGCCCCTTCGTCGGAGCTGAGAGGGTCCCGCTCGGAGGTGACCGACCTGAAGCGGAACGTGGAAGAACTGGGCAGCCGGAACAAGGTGGCCTTGCAACCCTTTTTCTGGGGGGGGGCAAATATTCTGCATCTCTTCCTTCTGGCCAGGCTGTGTGTGTGTGTGTGTGTGTGTGTTGGCCAGCTGGTTGGCTGCAGCTACTTCCCTGGATGGGGGCGTACTTTTGGACTCCAACTCCTATCTTCCCCAACCACTGGCTATGCCAACTGGGACTGGGGAGAAGAAGCATTGGGCTTCTGGGTAATTCCCGCCAGGTGGCAGGAGCAGGGGCTTCTGGGTAATTCCCGCCAGGTGGCGGGAGCAGGGGCTTCTGGGTAATTCCCGCCAGGTGGCGGGAGCAGGGGCTTCCAGATAGTCCCGAGACCTTTGCAGAACTGTGCCTGAACACCCTCTTTGGGCCACGATTCATGCTGGGGATGTTTATTTCTCTACATCCCCCCCTTTTAAATTTTTTT